CCCGGGCCGGGGGCGCGGCAGGACCGCGGCCTGAGCCCGCCACAGCTCCCGCATCCGCGGGCCTCTTCTGGTGAACTCCGTTGGCGTTTCGGGTGTTCAGAAGGACCTAGCAAGGTGCTAGGAGACAGTTAATATTTAACTGGCTAATTAATATTTAATTTGCCGGACACGTGCCTTACCCACATGTCGGGCTCCGGTTCTGAGCTCGCGTGGGCCTGTGCTGACCTGTCCACGAACGGGATGATGCCTCCGCGCTTCACGGTGGTGAAACTGGAGAGCTGCTTCAAGCTTATAAAAGCTTCTTCGGGCTGTGAGATTCTCTGTTAAGAAAGTGGTTGTTGGTGCCAGCCAGTACAGAGTGGGTGGCCTTTATCCGCTGGTCGTTCTGCTTCCCTGCTGCCCTGTGCCTACCCAGGAAGGTCACTGTGGTGATGAGGTTCCCCATCGTATCCTCCCATACGGTGCGTCTTTGCTCTCTGATGCAAAAGTTAAGTTATGGTATCCCTTCATTGTACTCTGTGCTGGCTTTTGCTGATGACTGGAGATGTGGAGTAGGTCCAGAATTTTACAGTCAAACATATAATACAGTCTACTGCAGCTCAGGGATCCCTGCCCTTTTTCAGGATGTTTCTTTGCTATTCTGACACAGATTCATTAGACTTAACTGGGTGTACCGTCTTTCCCTGCTTTGTTCACACAAGCTTTTGATCATCTGAGTCTTTTGAAGAATGCTGTGGAGATACTGCTAAGTCACATCTCATTCTGCATTCTCGCAGATGCAGAGACCAAGTTCCTCTTGAAAAAGCCTAACAATCTGGTCGGTATCTCCCCAAAACAAGCACATTCTGATCAGTTGTCTTTGAATAGCAGTTTATGTAGGTCTTCTATGCTGGATTCATACATCAGCACCTTGATGATAAAGACTTTGACAGTGTGATCGTTATGTCATGTTTTTATACATACGTAACTTTGCCAACACCAGTGTAACCTCAGAAGGTATTTAAGAAAAGTTGTTTTCTTAACAAAAAGAAGTTGAGGGAACAGCAGAGCCTTGAAAGGCTTTTTTGAGTCTTAGCATCAAGTAAAACTTGATACAGGTCTGCTATCATTCGCTAGGGAATGAAGCACAACTTGCAGGTCCAGTTCATTTAGTAAGCTTTCTTTAGTGTGCGTATGTGAGAGAGTATCTGAATTGTTGATAACAAAGCTCAGGGAAGTAGTCTCTGCCATTTAAATGACAGGTAGCTTGTAAACTGGAAGGAGGTGTTTCTGGTAGAGTTGGATGGTGCTGATGTATGGTTCGATTAAATATTTGATTTAGAAATCATTTTGCTTATTGGTGATGTTTTCTCATTAATTATGTGTTGATGTTGATCTGGCCCGAGACATACTCGAAAATGAAATAGATGCATTTACTTGGTTTAAATAAACAAAACAAACCCTGTAACTTTAATATGAGATTTAACAGAAAAGTATTTTTGTGCATAGATAATAGTAATTATTGCACACGCGTTAAGTGGCAAGGATATTCGGATGGATGCATATTCCCCGTGAAATGCAGAGAACCGAAATGCAGAAAATTGTATGTCAGAAAACTGGCCAGTGATTAGCTTCTGTTTTTCTTTTAGGAAGGCTCTTTGTTCCAGTCAGCATCCTGCTGTTTCACTCCTCCGTGTCTGTGGATG